CGTGTGCAGCAAACTCAATCATTGGCACTTCAGATAGGTAAGTTAGCTAGCATTGTTCTGTTGCATTGCGCACTCTTTTCACACTATCATTCTTAAGGCTTACTAACTGAGGTTTGTGTTCCAAATGTAGCATAAAATAGTCGCAGGCATTATACTCGATAACGGACGACTACACCCAAATATGTGCATCTGATACAAATTGAAGTTGCTCTATCAATCATGGGGTAATTTGGAGGAGGAGTGGGGAAGCACTGCGTTTATGGTGTTAATGAACACTCAATCAGCATGACAGCCTGTGTGGGTTTCGTTTTTCTCAACATAGACGTGAGATCACGCAGTAAGCAAACCCGGTTCCTTAATACACCACCGATTAAAATCTACCTCAATTTCGAAGTAGAGAATGACTTTGAGTTGGTGAATCAAGAGTTTTGAAAGGAAATCTTGCAAAAAATCTGAACTTTCCTCGATAAAAATGATTCTTAAGTGTGCACACCTTAAAACATATTGTGTTGCTTTCTACATCAAAGATGTCATGATTCATTATTTAAACATTGGTTGCAGTAAAAATACAGTGATTTTGCTTACATTAAGCAAACTCGGCCTGCACTTAACGCATGTCATAGGATCAGCGCAACGACATTTAATCCATTGAGTGCTTTAGTGCAGTCTCCAGTTCTATGTTCGTTGGTAGTGAAAAACCGCTTCCAACATAATTAACCAGGTACTTCCACGTAGACCAATTCTTCAGGGCCTATTTCGCAAAGGTAATTTTTGGCCCTAGGACTGTTTCGTGAACCATTCCACACTTGTGCTGAAACACATTGCAGCTCCACGCAGGGCCTATATGAACGCCTGTCAGTATGATTGCAATTGCAGTTATTTTGCCTGCAAATCATTCGAAGGAGTCGAGCTCTCCCACTAATGTCCTTCTAAGAAGCCAACATGATTTCTATGTCAATATCGATCTGAGGGTCGACTGCGATGATAAATTTTATCGAAATTGTTAAAGGTGTAAGTGAGCGATATTGCCTTAATTTGACGTGAACTACCTGTCTGGAGAGAACACGAGAGGACTATTATTATTACTGGAATCATCTGGACGCAGAGGCCACGCAAACGATTTATTTGAAGAGATGGCAGCATGTGAAAAAAAATTCTTACCACTTGTGCTTCTGCTGCTTTGAATTGTGCTGTTTCATTGGCTGTGGAAGTGGTCTAATTATATGCTATTGGAAGGCTAATCCCCACAACATACGCTTCTGATAAGAGCTGTTTTATTGTACTCACGTCATAACGTAGTACCACGAGTGCACTTATTGATGCAACACGCCAACCAAAAGTCTTCTCTTGTCAGGCTTCTCAACAATATTGGCACTCCGGACTCTGGTTTATATTTGTTGGCAACATTGCATGGAGCATTTCTGTCGCATCGACCTGTGATTGGTGGACTGCGAGCAGAATTCTACCAGTCACCTCAACGGGAACGCAATTGCAGTGCACCACCTTCGTCCGTAAACGCCAGCCAATCAATCATATGGTGTCAAGGAATTTAGCAACAGCGCAAAAGCGTCACAAGATTGTGATTAGTGCCTACAACGTTAACCCACATTCGACCGTCAGGGGTAGAAACAATGTTGAAGTTGAGGCAGCCTTCTCTTTGCGCAATAACCTCGTAGACACGATTATTCAGAAAACGGCGAACGTCCAGCTTTCTGGTAAGGAGTTGGAGGATTTCCGAAAACAGCAGATGGCTCTACAAATAGTTTAAATTCTCATTTAAGCATCTGCATTCGTCATAGTCTGCGATGTGACAACCGCTGCACGTCACTGCTTCGTCTAAATTTCGGTGTGCTACAAGTGCTCAACGCCTTTCCCGGGTTCGCACACCCACGTCATCGTTGTTCGAAGATGTGAATATTTGACGGAACGCATTTAGCTTAAAACTGGGCCACTTTCGAAAAAATGCAACTAAAATTTGAAGTTCTCATGGTGCAACTTAAGACTCAATACTGTCTGACGTATGCTAGTGCATTGGTACGTAGAATTTGCAGGTCTGAACTGACGAATAAAAAAGCACACCATCAGCTTAAATAGTGAAGTAAAACCGCAATGCTGCAAGCTTCTGACATGAAAAATAAAGTCAGGTTTTTATATGGTCATTTCTTTAACGTTCTTCGCGAAACCCCAGATTCGTTCATTTGTTTGCCTGTGTCTATACAGTTATGCCCAAGTGTGAATCAGTTTGTTGTCAGTTTCTTGGCATTGAAGCAAGCTAAGTCAAGTAAAAAGGCTGACAATTATATGAAAAATGTCATCTTTCACTCCGTTTTTATTGACACAAACGTCAACGTGTTGTTAACGAGAGAGACAAGATCGATACTATGTATATGGGTTTGACATGTAGGCCTGAAAATGTCTCAGTATATTAGAAGCTCGCCAGATATAGTCTGGAGGATGCTGAAACCCCAACATCCTCTTGACACCAATGCATGCGCCGTTCACACAAATCCTTCATTGCGTGATCTTCGCAAATTGAATGGTTGTGTAGATTGTGCATTTTTACCTACTAAAGCAAAAAGATGAGTAAATGTCAATTTCATTCGTGTTCCGGCATTATGAGAGAATCACGACCAATCAGCGATTAGGCATCAGCACGCATATAACCTTTTGAATTTCCACGTGCCTTGCGGTGATGAGGAATGTACTGTAAGTTGCGTCGTTGAGGGCATGGAAGAAGTAGATGGAGAGTGGTGAGTGATCATGGTAGGTTTTCGCGCAAATTATGCGTTTGATCAAATAATGTTCCATTTTATTTGACATTAGTGACACCTGCGACGATGTTGTACTTTAATTTAACTAACATCGAACGTAAAAGTCCCCGACCAATAGTTGTGTTCTAAACGGACAATTCGATTCTCGAACGACGCAATACTGCGCCCATTATTCGGTTTGAAATTTCTATTCATGGAGTTGCAACGTGTTTCGGTGCAAATGTGGAATTACCTGGAGAAGTCAGGCCTACACTTACTTCATACATGGTCGTGTGAATAGCAATTTAGAAATGTTATGTTGCCGTCTTGAGACGATTAAATAATGGTGGATTGTGTGTAAAGAAATAAAACGATTGCAAGCTCTGCTTGCACAATAACTGGTGTGCTGAAGTGAATAAGCCAACGCCAATGATGTCTCAAACGATTAGAGCCGACATAAAATCACAATGAGATTGAAGATGACAAACATCACATTTGCAGCCACGTTAAGACGTCAAAACCATCTCTTGATATTGTAGACAATGAGGTGCAGGGGCTCATTCCATGATGCCTACGGAGGGAAATTTCTGTACAAACTGTCGGCCTTCATGCTGGTGGTTCACGGAGACATTCATTAGATTTCTCGTAATCTTCGATTGATCTATCGAAGTAACTCTAACATCAACTTGTGCTTGAGCATTCATGTCGCATTCGCAAATCGTGGATT